TATCCAGCACCATTCTGGTATTCATTTTCTTATATGGACTCCTAATCTTTTCTTGACACCTTCACAGGATCTCTCCTATTACACCTGTGCCTTTCCTGTTGCGATATGTCAAAATATCTGCTGTGAAAAAGCTTTAATGTGCATGCTGGCTCTCTGTCACATTGTCATCACTGTGATGGTTTTCTGAGCCAAAATGTGTTCTGTGCAAAAGAACTACAGAATGCTTCTAAGCATAGTAATACAACATATCACAGAAAGTGAGTCATCACTGAGTCATCAGTCAAAATAAAACACAACTTGGAGATCAAAATCATGGAAATGCAGTTAAGAGACAACACCCCAAACATGACATTTAAATTGATAGTGTGTTTGTGAATGCACAAGATAGATGGAGTTTTTTTTTTTTACCATCAGTAAGTGACTTAAATGACTCAGTAAATCCCATTGAGCTTAGCCTCATTAGTAGTTAAATACATATCATCTGCTGTCTGCTGTGTAACAGTTCAAAACATTTTGGTGCCATCTGCTGCTCAAAAGCAGTGTGACAACAGTAATCACACATTTTGCTTTAATGCCCCAACCCCAAATGATGTTACCCACTTTATCTGTAAGTACATACATAGTGCAACTGTGGCTCCTGGTCATGTTGAGTTGTCAGGAGTTATCTACCAAAGAGAATCTAAACGTCTCAAAATGGCTTCATCTGTGTAACTGTTCATATTGTCCAATAAAACCAAACAAATACAGAAAACTCCAACAGCTGAACGCAGCCCTGTGCATCAGAACTTTTGTTCTTCTTTCCTCTCCCAGTAATCACTACATTGTTGCTCTGATTGACTGTAAACCCGTCCACATGAACTAAACTGCACATAAAATGCACATGTAGAAAGCAGTTAAGACTAGCTCCATGTTCCTTCTACCACTGCATGTAAATTGATCAGAAATAGCAATTAAATGGAGCTTGTTTACACTGTGGCATTGCCCTTTTGTAAAAATAAAATATGTGAATCCATACCCTAACAGCTTTAGTAAAAAGCAACTGGACTTTTCTTTTAGGTTCTTGAAGACGTTTCACCTCTCATCCAAGAGGTTTCTTCAGTTCTAACTGACTGATGGGGAGTTTCAGAGTGTTATAGTTACTCCAGCTCACATGGCTAATGGCCCATTAAAGACCAAGGACTCACCTGCATCCAGGTGTGAACTGTTGTGAAACCAGGTAGTTCAACAGTAACAACAGTAATAACGGTCATGGAGCTGCCAGTTTACACAACAGATGATGTGAATCTGCCATGTCAGGCATGACCCAAGATGTTAATGATGGCAAAACTTTCTGGGTAGAAACCTTATAAATGCATTCTCGGTACTTGGTAGGTGGTGTTGTAGTTCCCCTCCTCTGTTTGGAAATGGCTGTTCCAGACTTGATGGTTTCCTTCACCCCTCTCTCAAATTAGCTCTCTTCCTTGTACTTCATGTTAGTGATGCTAAGGTCCTGTCAGGTAAAAATACGACAAGTAATTTAGTAGAATAACTCTTGTCTCTCACTATATGAGCTCACCTTGTCTTACAACTCCAGTAACATCATCAGGAGATTCAGAGGGACCTACTGCTGCTCCACTGTCTGAGGCTGTTTCTGACTGGGGGCCATGTGGCTTCATGATGTTAAGCATTGCAGACTAATACTGATGGATAATATTACATGGCATTGTTGCTATGATACCATAACCATACAGACATTTTTATCAACTTGCCTCTTCTCTAATCAGCACTGTGGTGGCTGGACTAAGAATCAGTGAGTAAATTCAAACTGAAATAGGAAAAGTCTGTGGCAGAGAGCAAATATTTGGAAAAGTTTTCATAGAAATAACACCCTGTGTAGTGAAATTTTATGAAATTCTGTCACTGTATTGGTAAAATTGCTTTGCAGTCAACAACTATATCTTTATTGATAGAGCTGCTAAAGTTGGGAAAAAGTCAGATCCTACACAGGCTCTTTAAAAAATACCAGGTTTAAAATGAGATCAACATAGCTAATGTTTGAAATGCAGCAGTATTTATTAGTTGGAGCTCACCCTGTCCATTTGGTCAGTCGGGTTATAAATTCCATCATAGCTGTATGTTAGAGGCTGTGTGACAGCAGATGAAACAAAAGTCCATGTTACAGCAGTATGTATGAACAAAACAAAGCAAGTGCATTAAACTCATCATTCAAAGTGTGATGTTGGTTAGCAGAAGGAATTAGCTACTACTGTAAAATACGTACATTTTTAACAATCATGTAGAAAGCTGACACTCAGAAACAACTAAAAGAAATTGCCTGACATTAACCTGACCAGTACAGCTTAGGGAAACGAGACTAAGCATGTTTTACAATCCACATAAATTTACTGTTACTTTCTGTTGCTATCATTACTATCTCTGCACACAACAGTGATCTGAGAGAAAATCTGGGAATGAAAAAAAATCTGATCATGTCTACACATCTTGGGAAGACACAAAAAATAGAAATCGTAGAATTATTTCTTCCATCGCATAACAATATTTTCAATTTTTTTATTGTTATGTACTCAAATAAAAGTGACGTGCATGATTAGATTGTAGAAATCAAAAAACAAAGCACCTGAGCTGCACTTCAGACATAAGCATTAGGATGTGAACAGTGAAAGTCAGGATGGCTCAGTTTTGTGACTGGCTTAGCTTTGCCATGTCAGAGGTATGACAGTGAACACTGGAGGGAGCTGACAGTCCTGCTTCCAATAGGATGACAGAACCTTAGCAGGTTGTCTGATGCTGGAACCAGATGACTCCTGATTCTCAATCACAGTGTATTCCACCTGTTATTCAGCCAATACTTAGTTTGTCTCGCTTAGGGCAGGGCTGCTGTGCTCATATCTGATAGGCTACGTTGGAAAAGTCAGATGAAGATTAGGTTTGTTCACAAGTCAAGCTCTGCTATGATCGCAAGAATTGTTTTTCAGAGATCAGATCCAGATGAGCAATATCATGTATCTTGAGATGTAGCTTGTAACTGGGTTAAGAGACGAGCTAATTATGTCAGGAAAGAAAAAGACTTTTTTTTTACTTTTTACTCAAATTCTCTTTTCATTAATTCAGTCTTAAGAGTTTACTATATTTTCAATACTTAATGGTGCAAGATTTTATATGGAATTATAATGATTCGGTAGATTTGGTTGTATCTACATGACATAAGCATAGACTGTATATAAAGGTGAACAGAGCCTCTGGGTCTGAGAAAGTGAAGCCTTAAACCTGCATTCTTTCTAACAGCCAGCAGGGGGCGACTCCTCTGCATGCAAAAAGAAGTTTGATTGTATAGAAGCCTTTGATACAATGACTTTACTTTTCACTTGATCTACTACCTCAGTAAACATTTCCTATTGAGCTTATTAATTGTGAGTTTCAAGTGTCCTTCATGGTGTACATACAGTTGTACAATTATGGTCCCATTTACAAGAAATCAGATGGTCGATTTCAGAGCATGGCTACCTTGTGATTGATCGTATTGGTGTGCATGGTGTCATCGGGTTCTCAGTCAGATTATCTCCTTCCTCAATAAGTCCAGTTTCATAAAGGGAAGACGGCGAGAATCAAATGCTAAAGTAAAGGCTTCAGAATGGTAGTCCACAAACCAGTGGGCAACATTACAGTGGCTACATCCATGTTTAAGCATTTAACAGTCTAAGGAAATACATAACAGAAATGTGTTCGCTCTGAAAACCAGACAGGCATGTGCGCACTTGTCACAGGGGTTATAAAGGGAAATCAGAGTTTCTGTGATGGCTCAGACAGTCTGGAGGATGCTGCATGATGAAACTTTTCTAAAGAACACAGACAGAAGCCTGATGACACTGGGAGTACACTGTTTAGACGGATGAGACCAAGATAAATTTGTTCAACTCAAATGGGGTCCAGCATATTTGGCATGAACCTGGTCAGGACGACCACAGTGAATGAATAGTCCAGACAGTGAGGTGGCAGTGTGATGATGTGGGGCTGTACAAATTCAAAAGATGTTGGGAAGATGACATTTATCGATGGTGCTGTGAATGTCTGTGAATAAACCAAAATACAGACTGACTAGATGACGTCTAAAGAAGATTCAAAGCACACTGCAAAAATCATACACCGCAAAAAATCTGGGACTTGCCAAGATTTAAAATCTTATTTTTAGACACAATAGATAATTTGGCTTGTTTTAAAAGTTATTTACTTATTTTTAGCCCTTGATTTTACAGTACAATCTTAAACTGAGCATTAAAAATCTTATTTCAAGATTCCTTATCAAGCAAAATGTATTTGCTGCATGGACAGATAATCTCACTAGTTTTAAGTCATTTTCTTCTGAAAATTAGTGTTTATGTCTTATATTTGGGCTACCCTTTTTTGCAGTGCACAAGAGTTTCTCAGGAAAGAAAAACTGAAAACTATGTTCTGGCTAAATATGCTGCCTTACTTGAACCCAACAGAACACCTTCAGGGTAGTCTAAAGAGGAAGGCAGAGCAACACAAGCCCTTCAAAGAGCAGCTGAAGAAAAGTCTCAGAATAATCGTACAATTTGTTCACACCACATAAACAACAGTAAACAGAGTTCACACAGTTCAACATGTTGCCTCTCTCTCTCTCTCTCTAAAGAAATTTAGCAGCACTTGGGGGAAAACAAACAAACAAACAAACAGGTAAACTAATAAAATAAATTAATAAATCATGGAATCAGAACTTCACAGCTTTAAAAAAAACCATAAATGGAAAAAAAATTGTTATGGCTTAATATCTGGGCACTTTTGGGCTTTCACAGTGAAAATCTCTCACAGGCTAGACAATATGTAATTGTTGATTCATAAATAAATGAGTTAAACACACAGAGTGTCTGCTGGTATTAGTCAGCGCAGTGTGGGAATTTGCAAAATAAAATCTGGCAGAATGCGTGGGCTAAAATCTGATTGACTTGTTGGATAAATGTAAAAAGAAAATCATCCATTCATACTGGTGTAATTAAGGCACTTTAATGAGATTTTAACGGAAGTATTGATGACCATATAACATGAAAACCATTTCTTCATTTATACCTTCAAAGGGTCTTCATTTATCAGTTAGCGAGGAGCAGTGGGATGGCTTTCATGAGATTTGGTCACTTTCAGGGTTGTTTCACCCCTTAAACAGCTCGTCAACCATGGATGTGGTTCATTAACTACCCTTCATATCATTTATTTATTAATTGGCCCCAAATTTGAGGCAAAATCCAGATTTTTCATCTTTAGTGAAAAGCTGAGGCTTGTTTAAGGTGTTTTTGTTTTTTTTATATTTGGTCAGTTTTAAGGTGTTTTTCAACCCCTAAAAGCAAATTAAGGGCAAATTATTATCATCAGTTATTCGGATAGAACTTCATATATGAAAGTTCTATTACTTATTCATTAATTCTTCCAATTCCTTATAATATTATTAACCTTTAGCTGAAATTTTTTGAAATGCCAAATTTAAACTACAATATCAAACCAATCAAAATCTTCTACATTTGTTTATTAAGTGTTTTAAAGAAGCTGTATTGTGTTGTTGTGTTTCATCTTTGTCAAACACATGGACAAATTAAAAAATAGTAGTTGCTGCTTTCAGATGGTGTTTGACGTGTTCATAAAATCAGTGGGTTGCTGTTTCATAGTAATACATTCAGATTCATATTATTTATCAGAAGCTTTTTTTTTTTTTTTTTTAGCAAAAATAACTCATTAGACTTCACTGTTTATGTTTTATACAGTCAGCTCATCATGATCCTCTTCTTTGTTGACAAGACGATGGCTTTTCATTCACTGCTGGCCCACTGGTTTCTAGTAAATGTAAAATACTGAAATAAGCAGAGCTCATTTTTATCCCTCATGTGGACTGTTTCCAGTTTCATTAGTCACTTGAGTTGGGAGCTCTACAACTTGCGTTCTCCAGTGATGATGCTCTGGTAGATCAGGTCTGTTAGAGGAATGTAGCTCTTCTGCTGGTAGTCCAACACAAAGAGAGGATCAGAGATTGCTGAGGGGTTAAAGCCACTCTGCACCAGCTGGAACTTCTGCTGCTTGAAGGTGCTCGTCATTTCCATGACCTCCTGAGGGGAGGAACAAAAACAGTCAGAACAGAATGAAATGAGTGTGACATCAAATATTACTGTTTAATGTATTGAACTATAGATCTGGATGTTAAAAAGAAAAAAAAAGAACCATGTTGCATTCAAGTCCCATGTGGAGTCTGTATTTTTAATACAGTAAATCTAAACTAATAGTGGATTAATTCTGCTTCAGTCATGATAGTTTTCAGAGCACTAAGGTAAGTCACTGGCACCAAATGGACACTAGATGGTGGAATACATATATCGACTGAGCATATAGAGCACAGAGAAGCTACAGCCATCCTCAAATGTATTCATACCCTCCCATTAAAGAAGGAAAAAAAACAGCTGTCACTAAAATAAGTTGAAATTGACAAAAGTAATTATACATAAAAATGTAATGAAAATAATGACACCGCTTTTGAATTGTGGTTCAACAGAACTAAAAAAAAAAATTATAATTTTTTAAAAAAGCAAAAGCAAAAGTGTGATGGGACCCATTTTGTTCAACAACCCTTTGACCCAATCACTGCAATCAGGTGTTTTCTGTAACTCTCAATCAGACTTCTACACCTGTTGACAGCTATTTTGATTTTGGCCGACTGCTCATCAGCAAAGTGCTCTAATTGGTCCAATTACTATTCTTAAATTATTCTTTTCAGCCATGATTCAAAAGCAATGTGTTATTTCACTAAATTATAATTTAGTAAATTTTTTATTTATTATTACTTTTTTCAGTTTCTAGTTATTTGAGTGACTATTGTGAATTTTGCCTTTTCTTTAATGGAAGGGTATGAATACATTTGAGGACTGTACTTCTGTCTCTTTGAGACTGTATTTTTATATATGTTCCCCCTCTCTGGTCTGCTCAGACTAGTAGGACCAGTAACTGATATTATCAGTGCACCCTGGAATCATCAAAACACATGTAGAAACATCCACTTTAAAGTTTCCCTCCTGGTTGTTGTTACTTCTCTCATTGGCTGCAGTGATCAGTGTAAAACATAGGTGCTAAAAGTTAAAGTTTCTCCTAATTACTTTAGAACTAATTTACTTTAGAAACCTACTTTGTGATTTTACTCTCAGATGATAACCATATGAGTGTTAAAGTTAAGACTGACACATCCCTTATTTTCTGGAGTTTCAGCTAATAAAGGAGCTACTTAACACTGCCCCTGACCCACAGTCAACACAAACTCTGTGGAAGTGATTTGATATGAGACAAAATTTGCCTGAATATAATTTTGCCATTTCCATTAGCTACACAGCTTTTTTCTCATTAAAATGCAGACAGTATTTAATGGACTATCCAGTGAATTCTAAACAGAAAAGAATTAAACGTTTTACAAAAGCCTCTGATCTACACTCACACTTAATCACTGTCTTGCTCTGGATACTGTGACATTTGGCTAGGAAGAACATCATCCTTCAGATTACAAAAAGACCCCTCTTATCTGAGTCTAATAGGATTTCTTTACTTAGGACAAGGGCTAAATAAAGCAACAGAAATGTTTTACAAGCAGTTTTCGTGAAGGCTGAAACAGCTGCAGTTACCTCATCCTTCAGTTCCTTCATTTATTATTTATGTGTATGAACACATTCTGATTCTGTTTGAATTTGAATTTGAATTAGAATTTGAATTTCCCTTCTGGGATAAATAAAGTATTTTTCATTTCATTCTATTTTTTGTTTTGTAAACTTGACCTTAACATTCTTCATGGAGGGCGAACCAACCTGATTCTGACCTATACCCGTTTCATGGTCATACTAGACTAACAGCAATACATAACAATACAGTTCCCCTTTTAGTATGTAGGTGCTGAAGTCTAGACAGCCTGCAGACAAACATAAAGACATGTTATCACTAACATTACTGCTGGCAAAAGATTATATTTAGGACTATTATAAACTAAAGTCAAGACTTGTAACTACTTTGAAAAGCCTTTTCTTTACAAAACAGAATTCTTCTTTATACCTTTTCAAGAGCTGCAGTTACATTGATTGTGAATTAACATAATACAGAACAGTTATTACAGTGCATCAGTGTGTCTCTGCTCGTTACCTGAAGTCTTATGAAGAGTGGACGAGCATACGCTGGTAGATCTCTCATTGCATGCTCAAATAGTTTCTTCCCATCGAATTTGTGGTCTGGTCTTATAATCATCGCCGCCATTCCTGCTCTGCCCTCATGCCCTGTGGAGAGCATCATTCATTGTAACCTCTGTTACCACTCTCCAGCTGAAGAATGGCACTAAAAAACACAGTCGGGCCCCAGCCTGGGCTTAAATAGCTGCAAATGACTGAATTCATAAGGTTGACAAATATATATATACAATCAGGAAGTGTTTTCCAAAAACACACACTGTATGTTTTCACAGGCTTTGCTATTGTGTTGCTAATTGAGACAAGCAGTATGTGGATAGGGCTGCAAGGTGGCTCGGTGGTTAGCATCACAGCAAGAAGGTCGCCGGTTCGTGTCCCGGTGAGGACACCTGGGATCTTTCTGCATGGAGTTTACAATGTTCTCCCCGTGCAGCGTGGGTTCTCTCCGGGTTCTCCAGCTTCCTCCCACAAGGTCCAAAGACATGTTGAGGTTAATTGGTGATTCTAAAATTGTGAGTATGCTTGGTTGTCTGTCTCTAAATGTAGCCCTGCGATAGATAGACTGGCGACCTGTCCTGTTCACCTGACCTGACCTGCCTTTGCCCTAAATCAGCTGGGATAAGCTCCAGCCCCCCGCGACCCTAGTGAGGATTAAGCGGTGTATAGATAATGGATGGATGGAGTACGTGGATAGCAGAGACAGATGCCATACCTGGTATTTCCACTCCATACACATTGACTTCTTGGATAAAATCAACTAGTCCAAGAGTCTCCGTCACCTCTGTCGTTGCTACATTTTCCCCCTTCCACCTGAAATTGGGAAAAATTGGATTTTAATCAAGGGTGCAGGTATAGTAAGGTTTGCAGAACATCCAGTACATGGCAGACTGTCAGAGTAGCCTCGAACCTGTTGTGCTAATGCAAAGCCTGCATCAACACCGGCTTTTATCCCTTTGCAAAAAGTGTCTAATCATAACTCCTCTTTGTTTGAATATCATCGCAGCAAACATCCTGAGACTGAAAGCATCTCCTGTTGTTTTGTTTTTTTAACATTCTCGTTGTTTCGTTCTGGAAAACCCTCTGAGAAAAACACTGAGGTTCTCAATGCTATTATCAAGAGTTCAAGGTAGTCAGATAAGACTGGTCCAGGGTCTGTGTATTTTTCTTTGCTCTGTTCTCAGTTACAATTCTTAAAATTCCATTCCTGATGGATTTGGCAACAATGAAAACGGGCAATAACACTGTCTGAGACACTAATAGTGAACTTAGAATTGAAAGCATGACAAAGATTAGGCAGTAACTTCTGTCTTTCCTCTCAAATCCATGTGTATTTATGCTGCGTTGTTCCCTGTGAGTTCTTTGTGAGCAAGTACAGAATCTGAACTGACTGGAAAACAAGTTTTTTGCTTTGCTAACATGTCCATATGCTGTTTTTTTCCCAACTAGAAGACACATTATTAATGAAATAAGCAGTCAACACCATGGCTGAGCATTTCCCCGTTAAACTGCAGTGTATCAATGACTTGTCTCACAAGCATGGATTCAGACTTCCAGAGTTTCATACATAGCTCTGTATTCTTCTGATTGGAACATTTTGTTGTTGTTTATTGTCGTGTAGTTTGATAGTGTTTGAACAGAGTTAAAGGTGAGCTGCTGTCCCCAATCTGCAGTAAATGGTTGTAATGACACTGCATGGGTTACTTCCTTTCAAACATGTCTGATTCAAAGGAGAAGTTTGTTGGATTTAGGGGCATCTAGTGGTGAGGTTACACATGCAACCAACTAAATACCCCCAGATTCACCCGCCGCTTCAAAGCATGTAGGATAAGCTAGGTGGCCACTAACAATGTGACTACAGATTAATTTGTTGTGTTCAAGCCCAGTCTAGCGAAACATCAGCCCTGGGGTAGATGCTTTAAGGTCCTAGTGAACAGTGTCAGTGTTATCCAACTATACCTGAAGGTGTCTCCCACTCTGTCTCTGAAGCAGATGAAGCCTTCCTGGTCTTCAGCCATGAGGTCGCCTGTATTAAAGTAGGCGTCACCTTTCGCAAACACATTTCTCATCAGCTTCTTCTCAGTCAGCTGCTTGCTTCCGGCGTAGCCAAAGAATGGGCTGAGGATGCTCACCTTAGACAATAAAAGCCCTGTTCCACCTGAAAAGAACAATGTGACACAAAGTCTAACAACAATATTTCTGGTAAAGTCAAATTTCATAGAAAAAAGAGTGAGTTTAACGAAATGTCCCCGAGTTTCAATCTTACCCTTTTCCACTCGTTGACAGAAACCATATTGATCTCTCACTGGTTCATCTTTCACCATGTCATACTTCACCAGATCATACTTGAACAGGAGCTGCACAAGATGTCAAAACAATAGAACAGTGTTACATGGCACAGAAATACAGTGCAATCTATGGAACAATCTGCCACAAATCAACTTCAGGTACCAACATTAGGGCTGCTGTGATGAGTATGTATAATCCATTGATCCAAAGAAAAATGGGTTTGAAA